TGTTAATGTTCGGTTGTAGAAAACCTGAAGCTTACCTTAATTAAAATGCATCAACCGCGTGTGTAACCGTGATGGTCTCTTCTCGGCGGAGTCCGGGAAGTGAACACGGTGTTGGAGTTATGCTTGAACGTAAGTAGTCTAGGATCATTCTTGATCATAGTTTCTCGACCGTGCCTTGCCTTCTCTTCTCGCTCTCATTTGCGTATGTTAGCCACCAAATATGCTAGTCGCTTGCTGCAGCTCCACCTCATAACTTTTACCCTTCCCATAAGCTTAAATAGTCTTGATCATGAGGGTGCGAGATTGCCGAGTCCCCGTGATTCACAGATACTTCCAAAACCAGCTTGCAGGTGCCGATGAGACCGTGCAGGTGACGTAGAGCTCAAGGAGGAGCTCGTTGAAGATCGTGTTCGTTATGTTGTTCCGTTTCCAGTTGATCAGTAGTGGAGCCCAGTTGGGACGATCGGGGATCTGTGTAGCATTTGGGGTAGTCTTCTTTTATTTTGGTTCTGTAGTCGGGCCTTGATTGTATCTGGATGATGTAATGCTTTATTCATGTATTGTGTGAAGTGGCGATTGTAAGCCAACTATGTATCTCGTTCCCTTATGTATTACATGGGTTGTGTGAAAATTACCTCAATTGCGACTTTGCTTACAATGCGGTTATGCCTCTAAGTCATGCTTCGACACGTGGGAGATATAGCCGCATCATGGGCGTTACACTTTTGGGTTGCCCTAATGGTGACAAAGAAACATCTTTTTTGCTTTGGGTCTTTCGCGATAAAGGATGGGTCAGAGGTTCATTTCTAGGAAGACATATGGCTAGGCAATGCCAGTCTCCGAGAGCAATACCCAGCCTTATACGCCATTGCTCGCGATAAGAGTAATACTATTGTGCAAGTGCTTAGTTCATCCCCGCCGAATATTTCGTTCAGGCGGGATTTGATTGACCCCCGACTTTTGTCATGGCATAACCTTTTATCCCGTCTGGATTCGATTAATCTGACACAAGGTCGGGATGTGTTTCACTGGAAACTCACAACATCAGGGTCTTACACAGTAGACTCGATGTACCGTGCGCTTATGCATTCTGAGGTGCCAGTGAATAATAACAAGAAAATTTGGAAGTCAAAGATTCCACTAAAAGTTAAAATCTTTATGTGGTATCTTCGTAAGGGAGTTGTGCTAACCAAAGACAATCTTGCACGACACAACTGGCCAGGAAGTAAGAAGTGTTGCTTTTATGCTCATGACGAGACAATCAAATACCTCTTTTTCCAATGCAAGTTTGCACGTTCTACATGGTCAGTCATCCAAATAGCGTCAAATTTGTATCCGCCAACGAGTATTGCTAATATATTTGGTCATTGGTTGGATGGAATTTCAAATAGTTTCAAAACACTAATAAGGATGGGGGGGTATGCCTTACTATGGTCGCTTTGGCTATGTATAAACGATTTGATTTTTAATGACAAAAATGCTTCTCTCTGCAGGTTATTTTTCGTTGTACGCACTCGCTTCATACGTGGTCTATGCTACAATAGGCGGAGCACCAATCGCTGTTCAAGGCGGTGTGTACGCGGTTGGAGCAGGCGGCTATGGAGGTTTTTTCCCAACATGGGTGGCAGCATAACCTCCGGATCGATCCACCGCCGAGTTCGACATAGGCAAAGTGTTGGTCCATAGGACACTACTATTGTCGTTTTGTCGGTTTTCTTACTTTTTCTAGTGTTAAACTTTAGTGTTTGGCTGTGTGCATCCTAGTTAAGCAGAGGCCGGGTGTTACTCATAATGTTTTGTATCCGCTTGATGCTACATTTGAGATAATAAAATCGCCCTTTATAAAAAAACGCTCTGAAAACCAATCCGGTTGTAGCCTATATACAATATTGTGGCGTGGTCGGCGATCTCCTCCACCAGGCTACCATAGTGGAAGCTCCAGTACCACCTTAAATAACAAGAGAAAAAGAGTAGGAGCACACAATCAATGAGTTCATTTGTCAAAACAACAAAAAATGTACCCAAAGTGGGTGGTGTCCATGCTCATCACAACCTGAAATATAGCGTCACATGAAGCCTCAACCACTCCAACAACCTTCATTGCTCTGATGCAGCTCCTTGCCTATGAAAGGTACACAAGCATCAAGCACGAATGGTCAACAAAATATTCAAACTACCAGTTCATGCCCACAAGGTAATCAACATTCTGGAGCTCCTAAAAAATGCAGAGACCCGAAGAAGTAAAATTCAACTTTTGACACCCTATCAAACAAGCACCCCATACTGGAACATGCCGCCTGAAATCCAGCTCCTTGTCCACCCTGCCGTACGCTCCCTCTATCTCATTCCCCTTCCCGTGGTCGGGTGTGAAACAGGTTGGATCTACCCAAGGAAGCAGCGACACATGAGAGGAGAGTAGCTAGCATTGACATTGCTGCAAATTATGGACTTGCAGGATGGGGAAGGAAGGAAGAGGGTGCACCTTGGCCGTCTAGGTCCTATAGCACGTCGGGAGGGAGCCTTCTAGGTCGCCGTCATTGAGGTCCGCGAGCTCCCCCATGTGGCACATCCAGGTGTGGAAGGGGGTGGAAGGAGGCGGAGGTGGAGCCTGGCCAGCAACGCTGATGGCCATCAAGCAGCCACACCGCGGACCTGCAGTGGCTACGGTTCGCCACAGGGTAGAACTATGAGGTGGCGGCGAAGGTGATTAGAGAGGAAGGGACAAGAGAGCCGTGTCTGGCGACCTGGCCCCGCGACTGACGGACACGGGCGTTAGCCACAGGTTGACGCAGCCGCCGGCCCGTCGGGCAGCGCAACACCCGACCACCCCGACCGTCCGCGCCGTCATCTCCACGGGCTTGGAAGGAGAGGGGTGGTGGTGGCTGCGGAGAAGCGACGCGACCGGCGGACTGCACACTCCTCCCGGCGATGGAGAGGGTAGAGTAGTGGCGGTGGAAAGCTCGGCGAAGAGGGAGGGGGCGAGAGCTCGCCGTCGGTTGCGGGAGTGGAGAGAAAGGGCGCGATGGGGAGTGGAGGAGAGAGGCCCGCGGGGATTGGGCAACGACTAGGGTTCGAGACCGACGCACACTGTCCCCCTGCTGGTATTGGATATTTTCCCACCCAGGCGAAATGTCGGAAATGCCCTCAGCGGGCTCGGAGAATTACTCGCGGTGACACGAGATCTTTAGCCAGGGAGTGGGACTAATCATTGCTAAGGGGCGATCACTCGATCCGACGGCGAGGTGATCCGGGAGCTCGATCCGACGACCGAAAACACATCAGGAAACAGATCCGACGACCGAGAGTCGCTAAACTCTGAGAGAGCTCGGTGCTCCCTTCGTCTCATACTTCTGGATGTGAAAGCAATTTGTAAATATAGAGTCCGACCAACGACGCCTGCACAAGCTGTGACATGTACGGAAGAATCTTGGATACGAGGACGTGTCTACTCCCATAGCAAAGGAGTCCGCCGAGAGCCACAACACCAACAAAGTGTTGCAGGAATATGTAGATGGTGTAGTTTGTTGGTTGGGAGTCATAATGTCGACCGGGTGCCGAGCGCCCGTGAAGATCAGATAGAAAGGTGCACGTGGAACGGACGACACACAGGGCATCCTCGCGCGCCGATGCCCCATGAGGCGGATACTCCAGCATTCTTTACAAGAGTAATAGGCAGTCTAACTAATATATTTCTCTCAACGTGCAAGCGTATCATCTCATCATGCAACATGTATAAAAGAAGTTCCACCTCAGCCTGCAAACATGAATGAGAATTTCCATTCTATGATGCTATTTACTATATTTTATAAATATAATATAACTATAATAATCGAACACAATACGATCATCTAGTGAGTTATAACAAAGAACACAAGGTGGAATACTCTTTGCTTTCATCAATCTGGATGGTCTAGATTTATCAAAGATTGCCACACCTAAGGTTAGGCAAGTTTGACCAACTTAGATGAGTGTTTGGTTCAAGCCATACCTTAAGCAAACCACACTTGGGCCCCACATAACATAGACATAAAAAATATGGCAAGATTCCCTTAGTCTTGCCAACTTGTGACTCTCATTTTGATGAACTAACCTTAAGCAAGTTTGACAAAAATATATGACAAAATGTGGCAATACTAGTTCTAGAACCAAACAACCTCTCGCGAGTCAAGGAGAATATCCGACTTTTTATATATTAGAATAAAAAATATATATTTTTAGACCGTCTCCTCTCTCTCTCTTTCCGCCTTCCTTCATCTTCGCCCCCCAAATCCCAACCAATGCGCCTCTAAAGTATCTCCGAGCCCTAGGGCTTCCACCGTGCGCTTAGTGTCAGTACCGCCGCCATAGTCGTTCCCGTTCTACCTCAGCGCGTCGCTGCCCGTCCGCGATTAACCACTGTCTTCTGAGGTATGAGCAGTAGTTAAACCCCACGGACCTCCAGAAAGTTTGGGTGTGCATCGTGTAGAACGGCGCCGGTTCTATAGCAGTAACTCGTTTCCCCAGCGCGTAGGGTTCGGGTGTCGAGCTGAATCCCCGCTCCCCTCTTGGAACGTTGATGTTCGCCTTGCAGAATCCGATTTTGTTTCCTAGATTATTCCCCACCCCCTTCTGGATGCATTCGTTTCAGTCGAGCACCATAGGCCTGTGCTTTTGAAGATTAAATTTCATTTTGGTCGTTTTTTGATGGAGAAACTGAATGTAGCATCAAAAACTTAATTTCGGCCAATTCTTGTTCATGCTTGTCTTGAGTTTCCCTTTGTTCAGTTATATGAGTACATGATGGATAATTTTTCTGTAACGGGGAAAAGTGCATGTCGTAATTTAGCTTACGAGGGCGCCTTGATTTCGTGCATGTTTTCTGTGTTCCTTCTCATATGTTTCATGTGCTCATCCATTGCTGGTTTCGCTAATGCACAGAACGGAGAAGTGTCTGCTGGATGGGCTGTAGTTAGATAGCAGAACGAAACGGAGAACAGTATCACCAGCTTGTATTTCTCATCATGTCTCGGTCGCCACATCTTCCTCCCCGCTGCCCGCCTCTGGGTCCTCAAATCACAGGAAGAGATGACAGCTTGTTCACACAGAGCTGCAGGTTTCCATCAGAGGATCCTTTCTTTGGTGAACCACCGTGTTGGCTAGATGATCTCCTTGCAGATTCTGGGAAAATGCCAAACCTTCCACTTCTTAGGAGAGCTTGTAGCGACTCTGATGCTATCTTGGATGCGCTGAGGACAATTCAGAGCCCAATTTTTCCGATTGAGGAGGCGGATCTGCAACCAGCAGGTGAGACCGGGGACTCGTTGGATGCTGCTGTAAGGGGTGAAAGTGATTTGGGGGTTGAAGTTAGCTGTGTGTATGGTCCAAATTCACCAAGACAGAAGTGTAGGCTGACCAGTTCAGAGAGTTCCATTGTAAATGCTGTCCTGGAGAATGTCCCTAGCAACCCCTTGCAGTACCTGACCATTGACCCGTCAACCAGTCTGCATGGCAATGTGGCCAATGCAAAAGGAGATGCATGCGATGATGTAAACCATCTAGATCAAGACAAGTCATTTAAAAGGTACACTTCTGTCCCTGAAATCTCTACTGGAGCACCTTCTAATGTTTTCAAAGGTCCAAGTTCTTACAGGATATGATCGTACAACTACAAAAATATTAGTTGTATTTGCAGTGAGAATGCTGGAAAGTATTTCAAGGAAGTGAAAGGTAGACTTTGCACTCTTAGCTATATAACTAATCAGGATGGAAAATAGCCTGCCTGATAACACATAAGTTACAGTACAAAATTAAATGTTAATCCAAAATGTATGTCGTACATCTTACTGTGCAACACTGAAAATAAATATATGTCGTACATCTTACTGTGCAACACTGAAAATTCTGAGCCCTGTCTCCGTAAGTACCCAGCCCTCAGATATAATTTAGTTTTATCTGATCTTGTTAGCACAAGTCGTTCCAAGTTTGGATCTATTCTGTGTATTTAAAATTCACTACTGTACCTATTCCATGACTACAGTGGTAGCAACAGGTTCCTGTGCTTGTAATACTTGACCTTGGGTTGTTGAAGTCTCGCGTCAATAAATAGCTGCAGAATTCTTTATCTATTTGTATAAACTGCAGACTTATTTCAGGGGATGAAAATTTGATTAGTACTTCCTTTAGTGATTAGAGCTACCTCTGCTAATTCAAGACTGATAACTGTCAGTGTCAGATGTAGATACAAATAGTAGTAATGTCCTTCTGTTCATGTTGTCACATTCTCTATTAATATCAGGATCAAGCAATTCAAAACAATATTACAGAAAATCTTTGATGCATGTCTATTCTATTTGTATATCCATATATCATATATTTGTGAGCACACTTTTTTTTTCTTGGTCACTATTTTCTTGTGCTATACATCTTTTGAAAAGTAAGTAACTTCATCTGACATTCATGGTGTTGCCTCTAATGTGACAAGTCAATCATGTAAACATTGTGCATTTTAGTATATTTCCCTTTTGCGTTTTTAATACTATAAGCAGCTCTCTTTCACTCAGTTATCTTGGGCTCTGAAGCAGCATAGGGTTGTGGAGGAACAACTCACCTTGCTGCTACAAAGTGTACAACACTAGTGTTGAAGGAACTACTTCACCGTGTTGTGCTACATATCGGTCTAGAGGCAATTATAGGCCAATATGGTAGCAGGAGTTTAATCCAAAACTCCTGGAGCACAAGATCTAGTCTGAGATATTAGATAAGAACAACAAGTTCTATTTATAGGTACTGGTGTACATACTCTGGTTACAAACTAGAGGTGAGGTCCTCTATTTATAGGCTTTGGAAAGCCTTCACACCTCAACTTCTACTTATACCTAGGACACTCCAGAAAACATTACTTAAGGTCTGGCATTCTAGCCATAGCTAGAAGTCTCTAGAAAACAGTGGCTAATGCTAGGAAAACAAGCAATACTAGACAGGAGTAGAAGTATCTAGAAGTAGTAAAATGGATTTGACTTCTAATTTTCCTTTTCTTTTCCTTCTTGTTCCTCATGTGGTGCTAGTTGACGATAGTCGGACGGGGGTATGCAGGAAGTTAGAGTTATGGAGACAAACCTTGGAATCGAAAGGGTTTAGGCTTAGTAGAACTAAAACCGAGCACATGATGTGCAGTTTCAGTACTACTAGGTGTGAGGAGGAGGAGGTTAGCCTTGATGGGCAGGTGGTGCCTCAGAAGGACACCTTTCGATATTTGGGGTCAATGCTGAAGGAGGATGGAGGTATTGATGAAGATGTGAACCATCGAATCAAAGCCGGATGGATGAAGTGGCGCCAATCTTCTGGCATTCTCTATGATAGGAGAGTGCCACAAAAGCTAAAAGGCAAGTTCTACCAGACAGTGGTTCGACTTGCAATGTTGTATGGCGCTGAGTGTTGGCCGTCTAAAAGGCGACATGTTCAGCAGTTAAGCGTGGCGGAGATGCGTATGTCGAGATGGATGTGTGGCCACACGAGGAAGGATAGAGTCTGGAATGATGATATACGAGACAAAGTTGGGGTAGCGCCAATTGAAGAGAAGCTTGTCCAACATCGTCTGAGATGGTTTGGGCATATTCAGCGCAGGCCTCCAGAAGCTCCAGTGCATAGGGGACAGCTAAAGCTTGCGGAGAATGTCAAGAGAGGTCGTGGTAGACCGAATGTGACATGGGAGGAGTCCGTTAAGAGAGACCTGAAGGATTGGAGTATCACCAAAGAACTAGCTATGGACAGGGGTGCGTGGAAGCTTGCTATCCATGTGCCAGAGCCATGAGTTGGCCGCGAGATCTTTATGAGTTTCACCTCTGGCCTACCCCAACTTGTTTGGGACTAAAGGCTTTGATGGGATTTTCTAAGGTAGTTTCCATATTTATTTAATTGGGCCTCTTTCTCTTTAGTAGTGCTACGTGAGTCCTTTAATTATCTACCTAGCAAAAGAGTAGTATTTTTCCTTGTAAAGGTCTACATAACATATAAACATGATGACCAAGTTGTAATTGGTCAACTAGGAGTCCAGGTTGTGTTGGCCGTAGGACATGACGTGCACGAGGAATTGAGGATCGGCTAAGGGCGTGCGTCCCATGTTTTTTGGGGAGATCAATTTATTATCAACACCAATGATATGCTTCAGAGTAGAAATTTTCACCTTGGCGATGGTGTCAATTTTATCCTTTGCGCTGAAGGGCTCCCTGAGTATGGGGACCATCTCTTCTGGAATTATAGATTTAAGCAAGGCTTGTTAGAGAACCCTTAACCTCTCCCCCCAATGTGATGCTGGCATGGAGAACCTGATTTCATCTGCCAAAGCCTCTTTTGATAAGCCTTTCTTCATGGAAGCCTTTGCTGTGGCTGCCTGTAACATCTGGAAACAGAGAAATCTGAAATGGTCTGACAATATTAGACCTAGTCTAGGCTCCTTGTCCTTCCAAAAAGGGCCTTTTCCTTCTTTCTTATGGAATGAAGGACAGTTGCATACCTGCTCTTATTTCTTGGCTAGACAGCCTTGGCTAAGTCTTTGTACCACTCTTTCTTTATATTCAACACTCCCCCTTCCTTGTACATCTCTCTCCTTTTTTAATATAATTTTAATGTTGGGGCGTCCCCACAGTTTCGGCTTAAAATAACGCTACAAGGAGTTTGATGTCTTCGCATGGTGAAATTGCCCATTTGGAATTTATAATATCTATTCATATGCGTCTGTTTTATATTCCATACATGGAAGTGTTTTCTTTTACCTGAAGACAGCAGGGAACATTCACACAGTCACACTATATTTGAAAATAAGGGGTGAATATGTACATCAAGGGATTTACATGGCCAATGGCCACAGAAAACTACTAAGCTATCAATGCAAGATGAGATAGGGGTTCATTCTTTAGTTTGTATTGGTATATTATTTTCTTTACATTGAGAAGAAAAAAAAACACCATACCGTAACACACATTTCTGCAGGCGATCAGGCCAAAGATCTAGGGTCCGGAAACTTCAATACATTGCTGATCTTGAAAGAACTGTTGACTCTCTTCAGGTAAGTTTGTGACACTGCATGTTATATATTTACGGAGAATGTTAATAATAGTTCTTTCTTTATGACAATAAGTTTGGCTTTTGCTTTTTTAGATCATGGGAGCTGATTTGGCTGTAAGAGTAGCATCTCATTTCCAGCTTCGCAATGCTCTATCAATAGAAAACAAGCAACTGAGGAGACAGATTGCTAGTCTTCAGCAGGCAAAACTAATGAAGGATGGTATGTCTGGGTCTGTTTGCTCTTTAGCAAGTTATAGCTGGCATTGTTTATGAGAAAATTGACCTTGATTTAGGTTATGCATGTCGTTTACATTTATAGTTAATCCAACATGAACTTATGATCATAAGACTGGCCAGCTATTTAATGGAGCTAATAGATGATGATTCGATATAGGCTGTATATCCTATGGACACGTCTAGCCAGCAAACATTTCTGGCTAGATATCCGTGGAACACACCGGAAAATGAATGTTTTTTATACCTATGCCAGCTCCTGCATCTGGAAAAGGAAACTATATTCCCGTGTGCCTCACGTGGTCCCCTTGTCAAAGATTCCCTCATCTTCCCAAGCCACGTTCTCATCTCATCAGCCAAACTGGTCGGCACATTTAATTATATTCCCTTTTTTGCTTACTGGAGTCTGAGCATTGGAATTGATATCTGTTTTCACCACTGGAGTCCTCACAGCGATCTCTTCGAAACTAGATCTTGTGTTGGTATGTTTCGACGAACTTTTTCTCCGAGCAACTTCAGTGCTATAGGGACCAACTTCAGTGCTATGCGAACCAATTCAGTTCGTTTTTATGATGTCAGTTGGCCTAGTGCTCTTGTAAGTTCGCTACCATGACTGCCAAGTAGCCTAGTGTTACCCTCAAATTTTCTACCACGACTTGTGAGTAGCCTTACATTATCTAAAGTGCATAGTTGATTTCATCGGACGGTGCGTATGGGTGTGCACCCGCTAAGTCTAAAAAGCGCAGCTGCACTTTACAAAATTTAGGATATCCTATTCAGTTACCCATTATTGTGCACTCAGTTTCTCATACATTCCTCGTTGTACTGGAATTGGTATTGAAGCCCAATCATTTTAGTCATTGCTTTCTTTTGAAGTTCAGACACCAAGGATTTGTCAGCCAAATGGCACAAACTTCTGTGATCTGTTTTAATCACAAAAGGACTTCTCAGTAAAGGATCTCCATTTGTCAATAGCCACAATGATGGCCAAGAACTCCTTTTCATATATAGGTAACTTCTGATTAATGACTCCCAAGGCTTTGCTATAAAGTGCAATAGGGTGTCCTTGAGAAAGCACTGCCCCCACTCCAGATTGGCAAGCATCAGTTTCAATAGAGAATTGCTTAGAGAAGTCAGGCAGTGCTAACACTGGTGTAGTGCACATGGCTTGTTTTAATGTCTCAAAGGCCTCTCAAGTCATAGAAGTCCAAACAAATTGTTTATCTTTCTGCAGTAGCTGAGTAAGGGGCTTGGCTAACACCCCATAGTTCTTAACAAACTTTCTGTAATAGCCTGTTAAGCCCAGAAAACCCCTTAATTCAGTGGCTGAAGTTGTGACTGGCCACATTTTCATAGCTTCAGTTTTATCAGGATCAGTAGAAACACCTCTGTCAGGAATAATATGCCCCAAGTATTCCAACTGGTTGGTTGCAAAGATGCACTTGGACAGCTTGGCAAACAACCGACTGTGCTGCAAGGTTTCAGACACTACTTCCAGATGCTGCAAATGAGTTTCCAAGGTTGGACTGTATACCAGGATGTCATCCATAAAAACAAGCACCAACTTTTATCATGTATTTAGCAAATATGAAGTTCATCAAACACTGGAAAGTGGCAGCGGAATTAGTGAGCCCAAATGGCATAACCCTAAACTGGAAATGGCCATGATGGGTCTTAAAAGCAGTTTTCATCTCATCTTTAGGAAGCATGTGGATCTGAACATAACCACTGCGCAAATCTAGCTTGGAAAAGTAATTAGCACCAACTAGTTCATCCAGTAATTCATCAACCACAGGTAGAGGAAACTTATATTTTGATTGTGACCATATTAAGTTTCCTGTAGTCCACACACAATCTCCAGCTACCATATTTTTTCTTCACTAATAGAACTCGAGAAGCAAAAGGACTCTCTGGGAATCACTGTAGCAGCCTGGATCATATCAGCAACTTGTTTTTCTATTTCATCTTTCTGATGTGGGGAGTACCTGTATGGCCTGGAGTTAACAGGAGGTGTACTTGGCAGTAAGCAAACAGCATGATTCAAAGCTTTCTGTGAGGCGGGAGGGCAGAAGGTGCTTGGAAAACTCCTGAAAATTTGTCCAACAGTGCTTGAATTACTTGTATCTCTGAGAAGGTTTGAGTTTGTCAGAGGAGTCCAACAGAACTGTTGCCCACAACTCATTTGCCTTTGTGCCACTTGTACACTTTCTCAATGGAGACTTCCTTAATGTTATCAGTGCTGGCTGGTAACACTCCTTGTAGCTTAACTGTCTCTCCCTCACGAACAATTTCTATCCATTTTTGTTTCCAATCACATTGCATAGTACTGAAAAGAGATAACCAGTCCATGCCTAAAACTCCATCATAGCCTCCCAGGTCCAATACTTTCATAGGGTGTGTGTAATTATGGCCCTGCATCCACCGAATTCTTTGACTACTGAGGAACATGTCAGGATTTCTCCATTTGCTACTTTAGCATTAAGTGGGGAGACTTGTCCACCATGGCATTATTCAGGACACTGTGAACTACCTAAATCCACCAATAGAAGAAACACTTGATCACCTACCAAGGCTCTTAACTTGATACTACATTTGGAGTCTTCAGAGCCAGACAGAGCATGAAGAGAAACAAAATGGGCCTCTGGGTGTTTGGCCTTCCATGGCTGCCACTGCTGACAATAGGTCATCCGACAAAAGGGTATCAGCTGTAGTGACTTCCAGTGCTTTCAACTGAGCTTGAACAGCACACTGATGCGTTGGAGAATATTTTTCTCCACATTTAAACACAATCCATTAGCTCTACAATACTCCTTCAACTGTTGGGTCTTCCATAAATCTCCTGGCCCATATTTAGCTCTGTAATCCTGCTTGAAACCACTTGCTGTATGTTTCCGAGAACTCTGTTTACTCTGAAACTTAGCTCGTTCCATCACCCCTTCCTGAATCATAGCATAAGTGGCTGCTTGAGCAACTGTCAATGGTTGCTGTGTTTCCACATGGCCGATGAGCTCCTCTTGAGTCCCATGGTAAATTGGTTAGCCAACATCAGGCCTCCTACAGCAGGGTCATATAGCTCGATATGATACACCAACTGATCAAACAAGTGTTTATACTCTGCCACTGATGACGTCTGCTTTAACTGATGCAATTCACGGAGTTTGTCCCTGTGTACATTCATATTGAACTCTTGCAATACATCCTGGACAAATTTATCCCAATCATGCCACCCAGTGGATTGCTTGTGCGACTGATACCAGTGGAAAGCATTGTCAGGCATGTACAGGGTTGCCATCACCACTCAAAACCCAGCTGGAATTTGATACATCATGAAGTGTTGCAAGTATCAACCCAGACCCTTGCATAAGCACCATCAAAACGGTGAAACTCCATTTTGGGTAACCAGGAACGCCGCCCCGCTCCCTCTCACCCCTCTGCTAGATCCACAGTTATGGGTGTTGGGGGCACGTGAAGGACCTTACCCGGTGGTGGTACTGCTGGTGGCGGCGGAGCCACTGATGGTCCCAATGGAAAAGCAGGCGCTCGCTGGGTAGGAGTTGGCAACCCCAATGCTCGACGCACTCTGATCTGGGACCTTGATCAACTGCGACCGCGACGACTACAATTGACTCATCACTTGGCCGTGATCTTGCTGCACCTGGCCAAGCGAGAGCAACGAGAGATCCAACTTCGCTTGGATCTGCTGCACCTGCTCCTGCTGGGCTTTGGATGACAGCGCATGCTCCTCCAACCGTTGATTCATCACCATGATCTGTTCCTGAACTTGATCCAGTGCCGAGGGAGGGAGGGAGGGAGGGAGGGAGCGGAGATGGGATGAGATGAGATGACCTGGGATTTGAGATCGGAGAGAGTGGAGCGGAGAGGAGAGGAGATGTTATGACCTGGGATTTGAGATCGCCACACGCATCTTACACAGCTCACACTCACACGAAGATGCCTACACATATTATGTTATCCAACTCAAGACGCTGTCATGCCTACCGCAGACAATGACATCACACCACTGTTGTGCATGGCATCACCCCCCCACTCCCGTGGTGTATAACCATACAAAGCCTTGAATGGACTGACTGCCATATATGCATGATCCGATGTTTATACCAGTATTCAGCTGAAGAAAGCCATTTAGACCACTTCTTCGGACATGAGTGCATAAAACATTGCAGATAGATCTCTAGACACTGGTTCACCCGTTCGGTCTGACCGTCTGTTTGCGGTTGATTTGCAGTGCTCATGTTGAGATCCGTACCCATTGACAAGAACAAATCGTTAACCAAGTGTAATATAATCAAATTTCTATTCGGGCCTGATGTTAATGTGAAAAAGAATAAGAAAAAAAGAGAACATTGTGCAAGTAGCATAGAGGGATTGTGCCACCCTTTGAAATCTTCTTATTATAGGGAGAAAGCGAGCTAAAATTTTCTTGCAGCCTGCAAACAGTAACTTTTAATCTGTTTCTATATTTGCTCTCATTTTCTTTTTCTAATTTTCTCCTAACATGGATCGGGTCAGCTTTGAAATGATGAACCAAATTAAACTAAATTGAGAATCACATTCAGTGCCAGGGCTATTCTTTTAATATTAAATTTATCCTGAAGCCAAAGCAAATTTGCATCGTCGATCAGTTTGTACTTGATATGGTTTCTGATTTTGATAATCGGTTGAAGTCCTTTTTTTGACAAATGGCGCTTTTATTATCAAGCGGGTACAAATCATAATGAGCTAACCCCGGCCTGTGCATAGCTAAGATGCACACAGCCACTACACAAAAGTCTGGCAAAGTAAATAAAAATGACAAGTTGGCAACAGTAAAGTCATATGAGACCAAAACTATGCCTATGTCGATGGAGAAGGTGGACCGATCCGGAGATTATGCTGCCACCCATGTTGGGTGAAAATCTCCCTGGCCACCCTCTCCAACCGCATACACACCGCCTTGAATAGCGATTGGTACTCCGTTCGGTGCAGCGTAGACCACATACAAAGCCAGTGCATACAACGGTAAATAACCTGCATAGGAGAAGAGATTTTGCCATTAAAGACACAATCGTTTCTACATAGCCAAAGCGGCCATAGTAAGGCTAACGCTCTCACCCAAATTAGCGTACTAAATGTATTTGGTATTCCATCAAGCCAATGACAATAGATATTGGCAACACTTGTCGGCGGATACAAATTGGATGCTATTTGGATGTCAGATTATGTTGAACGTGCAAACTTGCATTGAAAGAAGAGGTGTTTGATTGTCTCATCATGAGTACAGAAGCTACACTTGCTTCCTTGCAAGTTGCATCGAGCAAAATTGTCTTTAGTTAGCACAACTCCTCTTCGAAGATACCACATGAAAATCTTAACTTTTAGTGGCATTTTTTATTTCCATATTAGTTTATTATTATCCACTGGAATCTCTGAGTGCGGGAGTGCACGGTACATAGTCAACTGTATACACCTCAGTTAACATCTTTGAAGTAAGTGCTAGGGATTTTATTTTGTGATGATTCATATGCAATCTCACTTTGAAAGCTTATGATGCATTTTTGCAGGTCAAACACATTTCTTGAAGAAGGAAACTGAGAGGTTGAAGCAGATCTCTGTGCGTCACCGCAGGAGCAGGAGTGTCACTTCTTGCTTTGAGCCGGGCTCAATTGGAGCAGACCCATCAGCAATCAATTGGCAGACAGTTGACATGTCAAAGCTGAGCTTAAACGGCAGTCCTGCTCCTGTGCCCCCGAGAGGTGGCTATGGCCTGTAAAAGCAACCTGCTTTGGTCCCACTGAGATGAGATCGCGGCAGTAATCCTCAGATGTGGTTAACGATTCACTAACCTGACCAACCATATAGATTCGAGGGTTTAATCCTTTATTAGGAAGAAAAAAGTAGTCAGTCCAGTTACCACCAAAAATATAGAGGTCGTCAGTTAAGCTTATCTTTTGTAGGATTTCTGCATTGGCTTGCGAATTTTAACACAAATCAGATGAAGCAAGCTTGAGCATTGCTTGTCACTAGTGCTTGTGGTCTTAGAAATCGATGTTTTTCTCTATGTTACTGCAACTGAAGCGTCCTGATCTTCCCATTAGCGTGGTGATACATGCTGGTACTGATCTTTCGGTTAGTGGTGATTTGGTCGCCATTAATGCATGTGCTATGTTAGCCCTCCGAATGTTTTTCCTCTGGTTGCTGTCTTTTTTTTTTGAACAAGGGAGAGGCGCACAAGGCGCCAAATTCATTTCAAACCAAGCTCAAGTACATGTTACAGGATAGCTTATAACACCTGGGCAATCAAGCACTAATAGAATATGCAAGAAGGGCTTTTTCCTCTGGTTGCTGTCTGGAGGATGTTGTTGCTAAATAAGCTTCTGATGACGTTGATGCAAACGTGCAGGCGACATGTTCTATTGTGGTTGACTTCTTAGCTGCTAGGGTGTGCATTTTATACTTTACACTGACTTGAGCATTTTTTTAATAAACACATAAGGGTCGGGAAGGACAGTGGAGCTTCATTAGTTAACGGAAATGTTAAACATTTTTTTGACGACGGTAATTAGGCTACTTGACAAAATATTTTTTCTTAATTTTAGTTATGGGCAGATTTTAGCAATTATGACAAGTCAGCAATCAATCTACACATGCAATTATGAGAGTATAGCAACAAAAAGTAAAACATTGCATATGTGAAGGTAAAGGGAAGGGTTTGGAGAAGGCAAAGGCAATGAGGACACCAAGATTTTTGGCATGGTTTTAATAGGTGGTGCTATCGTATATCCATGTTGATGGAGACTTTAATTCATGAAGGGTAACGGCTGCACGACAGCGCGAGTCCACGAAGTGCTTCACCCACGAATGGTCCACGAAGAAGCAATCTTGTCTATCTCATCATGGCCATCACGCGCGAAAAACTTGCGTCACTCGGGTAGTTCTTCATGAAGTAGGCGATCTAGTTGCCCTTACAAACTTGTTTCAACACCACATCTGTCGCAGGCTCCCAAGCGACAACTAACCAATCTAGGAGACACCACTCTCCAAAATATAATAGACAGTGTGTTGATGATGAACTCCTTGCTCTTGTGCTTCAAATGATAGTCTCCCTAACGCTCAACTCTCACATATTTGGCCATGGTGGAAGAAGAATTTGAGTGAAAAGCAACTTGGAGAAGGCTAGAAATAAATGTTCAAATGGTATCTGTTGATCTCAACACATGAGTAGGTGGTTCTCTTTCAGAAAATAAATGTTGGAAGTGTAGACACGTTCTGATGGCTCCCCTCTATGAGGAAGAGTGGGTGGATGGGTATATATAGTCTCCACACAAAATCCAACCGTTACACACTTTTGACCCATCTCAGTGGCATCAATCAGAAAACTCGATGGCACTGATCTGTACAAAAATATGAACGTTAGGAATCTCGGTGGGATCGACGTGAACAATTCGGTGAAACCGATGTGCTAGGGTTGAGGGCAAACCTCGTCTCGGTGGCACCGATTGCATCAACTTGGTAAGAACGAAGTGAAGCAATAAGGCAACAGAGAGTCAATCAAGCCATCTCGATGGGACCGATTGCAACATCTCGATGAGACCGAAATATTGCAATAAGCAACAGATAGTTGGCAAGGCCATCTCAATGGGACTGAGATCCATATCGGTGTGACCGAATTGCTAGGGTTTTGGCTGTGGCTATGTCAAGATGAACTTGGTGGCTCCGGATGGGAAATATCGATGGGGCCGAGTTGCGAATTAGGTTTTGGACATATTTGGATAGAGAAAATGACTGAGAGTTTTGGAGCAATATCACTAAGCACTTGAGCAACAAGATCATTAAGCAACACCTCATCCCCTTTTAATAGTATTATCGTTCCTATGGACTCAATGTGATCTTGGATCACTTAAACAAAAATGTAGAGTCTTGAGCTTTTGTCAATTCTTGTCCTTATCATTTTGAGGGGTACACATCTCTATTTTATGCCATGCCAATCGTTGAACATCTTGAAATATTTATCTTGAATGGATATTAGTTTAATGAGATATATGTTGTTATGAATTACCAAAATCATCCGAGGATAAGTTGCACTTTCAGCCATGCAAAAGTAAATAAAATTGCCATGCTTGTATGCAGGATGTCATGTTCTAAAGTGAAAATTTTCATGTAGTATAAAAATTGACGTGAGACACAATGACCTCTCGCCTCAAGTGTGTCGGGGAAACGACACCTATGGGATCACGCGGACCCCTTCTACGGTTTGGCAGGGAAGAGGAGTGCGCAAAGAGTAGATCTAACGATCAACACGAGGGATTTTTACCCAGGTTCGGGCCGCTAAGAAGCTTAAAACCCTACTCCTGCTTTTAGTGTATAGGTGTTCTTGACCTTCGGCTAGCTGCTACGCATGCAAAATGGGTAGGAAAGTCCAAAAGTCCCTCCCTACATCGCCTTGGGCCTCCTTTTATACCAAGGGGCTACCATAGTGGCGTACATGAATACATAAGGTGTAAAGTAGCTACAATGTACATGCTTATCACTGACGTCTTAGGACAAACACATTAAATGCGCTGTTTACGTGCCCCCTAACTTTATTGGGGACAGAAACAGAGCCCGTCCCATTCGTCGCCGCCTCGCCCCGTCTTGACACGTACCCCGGATGACGAGGCATGCAATGCCAAGCTGACTGGCTAGCCGCCGCGCTGGAGCGGTGGTGGGATCTTCACGAAGATCTGCATGCCACCACGCAGGTGCTTGCCAGGCTAGTCGCTGTGCTGGAGCTACTGCAGGGCGGCGGAACCTTGCCGCGGCCCCGCAAACGTCCCCAGCAAGGATCTTGCCGGGTCCTTGCAACCGTCCCTGGCAAAGCCTTGCTGGGAACTTTGCCTTCTGGTCTTCACAAAGACCTGCATGCCACCAAGCAGACGCCCCTGGATCTTGGTCTTGACATTGTCGATGGTGTCAGAGCTCTCAACCTCAAGGGTGGTGGCCTTGCTGAGGCTTTGCAAACC